TTTTTTCAATTGATTTTAGACAGTGAGGAAGGGAGAGAGAGAAACTTCTATGTGAGAAACATCAATAGGTTACTGCACCCACATCTGGACTGGGGACCAAACCTGAAACCAGGCATGTGCCCTGACCTGGCAACCTCTCTGTGCTTGGGGATGATTCTCACCCAACTGAGTTACATTGGCCAGGGCAGAACTTCCATTAAAAAATATATGTGTGTTTATTGATTTTAGAGAAAGGGGGAGGAAGAGAAATAGAGAGATAGAAACATAGATGAGAGAGAAACATTGATCGGCTGCCTCCTGCACTCCCCACACTGAGAATTAAGCCCATAACCTTGGCATGTGCCCTGACCAGGAATTGAACCGTGACTAGTTCATAGGTCAATGCTCAACCACTAAGCAAGTCATGTCTGCCAGGGAGAACATACATTTTTAATGCACCCTCCGGTTACTCTTACACACACTAATATTAGAAAAATATAATAAAAACAGGTATACAGACATTGGTGTGTGATTCAACCACTAGTTCTGCCACTTCTGGTTATAACAGTAGCCCACACCACTCTCAATAGATTCCCTGCTCTTACTTTCCCTTTCCCCACCCCTTAAATCCTCTTTCTACTGTACATTCTCATTTAAATAGTTACTCATTTCTGGAAAATCTTTGAAAATTTCTATATAAGAGGAGTTTAGGGGCAGCAATCTGGTTCTTAGAGAAAATTAGGGACATAAAATCACTATTCCATACGTCAAGTACATTAACTTTATTTAGATTGTTTTATTTGAGGTGACTATGCTAGGTTACAGAATTTGGGGAGTATGATGGAGCTTTATGGGGTGGCAGTAATATCTCCTAGTAATATCTCCTCTTTGGCAACATCACGTACAAATTTGCTTCTGCTTCTGAACAGGGAAGGCATTCTCAGATAATTTTATTCTCTCTTCTTTGCCTATGAGCACAGACTACAGTCTTCTGTGAGGCTGGCAGCCATTTTGCTCTCCCTCAAACCCACCCCAAATCTGTTATCCTTATACAGAAGGTGTCAAGTTCCTCAGTGCTCTCTGTGATTTGCACACAACACTGACCAATCAGAGACCTGGAACTACGGATATAATCAATGAACAGAAACCTACTAGAAAACCCATGAAATTTTGCCCAGCAGTGAATAAACAGGAAAAAAAAAAACACAGGTTTTTTTTAAAAAATTAGCAATGTTCTCTGTAAAATAGTGCTGCTCAAGATATAGCCCACTAACACTCAAAATTAGCAACATAAGAGGTATTTAAAAAATATTTTACTTGATTTCAGAGATGAAGGGAGAGGGAGAAAGAAATACAAACATCAATAATGAGAGAGAATAATTGATTGCTTGCCTCCTGCATGACCCCTATTGGGGGTCGAGCCCACAAGTCAGACATGTGCCCTGATTGGGAATGGAACCATGACATTCTCGTTTATAGGTCAACTTTAACCATTGAGCGACACTGCCTGGACAAGAGGTGTTTTTAAAAATTCAGATTTCTCTATTCTATCCTAGACCAACTGTATTACAATATCTGGTAATGAGACATATAAATTTGTAATTCCAATAATTTCCTCAGATTATTATGGTATAAATTAAAGTCTGAACATCATTGCTATAGGGAAAATTTTAACAAGAAACAATAAAAAGAGTAGGAAAAATAAGCATACTCTGTATCACCACCTCTTTCTTTTATTGATTGCTAATGGATGGATGATGTCACCTGCATTCCCTTACACACAGGCATAATATTTTCTTCTATCCATTTAAGACACTATTTATTATTCTGTCAGTGTGCCAGTTTTATCAGGATTAGGAAGGCTAATTCCAAACTAACTAAAGTTATGAGATATCTAAACTAAAGTCATCAAGTATAAATTATAATGCCCATCTACTTGTAATGGAAAATATTGTAAACACAGGGATGCTCAGTTTGATAATCTCCACATTCTGAATCTAATAAATAATACACATACAAATATAAATTATAATAATAAATTACCATGGTGAGTCTGGAATCATCACAAAATGTGTTAGTAGATATTTGTAATGATTACTGCCTCAGTTTTAATTTGATATACTTACCCACCTCCATCACTGGCTTTGGGCTGGAATATTTCAATATTTTAATTTCCAAGACATTGCAAGGAACTCACAGCTAGATCTCTGA